CAGAGTTACAGACAGTGAGAGGGAGAGACAGACAGAAAGGTCTTCCTTCCATTGGTTCACTCCCCAAATGGCCGCTATGGCCGGAGTTGCACCAGTCCGTAACCAGGAGCCTGGTGCTTCTTCCTGGTCTCCCACATGGGTGCAGGGGTCCAAGCACTTGGGCCATCTTCCACTGCCTTCCCGGGCCACAGCAGAGAGCTGGACTGGAAGAGGAGCAACCAGGACTAGAACCGGCGCCCAAATGGGATGCCGGTGCCGCAGACAGAGGATTAACTTACTGCACCACAGTGCCGACCCCAGCTCTTTGAATGTTTTGTAGAATTCAGTAGTAAAAACATCAGGTCGCCACACTTTTCTTTGATGGGAGACTTTTGATTACTGCTTCAATCTCATTGCTTGTTATGGGTCTGTTTAGGTTGTCTATATCTTCTTGATTTAATCTTGTTAGGTTATATGAATCCAGGAATCTATCCATTTCTTTGAGGTTCTCCAGTTTATTAGCATATAATTCTTCATAGTAGTTTCTTATGATCCTTTTTATTTCAGTGGTGTCAGTTGAAATGTTTCCTTTTTTACCTCTAATTTTATTTATTTGAGATTTTTCTTTTTTTCTTTGTTAGTCTTGTTTATCTTCTCAAAAAAACTTTTTTGTTTTGTTGATATTTTATATTTTTGTTTCAATTTCATTTATTTCTGCTGTGGCCCTTATTATTTCTTTCTTCTTGCTGATTTGGGATTTGGTTTGTTCTTGTTTTTCTAAGTCTTCAAGTTGCATCATTATATCTTTAATTTGAAACATTTATTTTTTTAATGTAAGCACTTAATTCTATAAACTTCCTCTTAATATTGCTTTTGTTGTTTCCCAAAGATTTGATATTTTCATTTACTTCAAGAAAGTTTTTTTATTTCCTTTTTAATTTCTTCAGTAACCATTGATTATTCAGTAGCACGTTGCTTAATTAGCTAATATTTATGAGCATTCTATTGTTCTTTTTGTGGTTGATTTTATGGTCTGAAAAGATACATGGTATAATTTCAATCTTTTTAAATTTGCTGAGATTTGATTTGTGGCCTGAAATGTGGTCTATCCTAGAAAATGTTCCACGTGCTGATGAGAAGAATGTGTATTCTGTAGCTGTCTGGTGAAATGTCCTGTAAACACCTGCTAGGTCCATTTGCTGGATAGTATGTTTCGACTCCAATGTTTGATTTTCTGTCTTGATGATCTATTGATGAGAATTGGGGTATTGAGGTCACCCACTATTATTGTATTGAAATATGTTTCTCTCTTTAAGTCTAGTAGTATTTCCTGTATATATCTGGGTGGTCTTGTGTTGGGTGCATATATACTTATGATTGCTATGTCTTCTTGATGAATTGAAACTTTTATCAAAATATAATTTCCTTCTTTATCTTTTTTTGAATTTTTGATTTAAAAGTCTTTATCTGATACCGGGATAGTTATTTCTGCTCACTTTTGATTTCCATTTGCTTGATATTTCCAACCCTTCACTTTGTCTGTGTGTATCTTTGTGAAGTGAGTTTTTATGGGCAGTTTAATGTGGGGTTGTGGTTTTTTATCCATTCAGCCAACCTAATCTTTTGGTTGGTGAATTTCATACATTTACATTCAAGGTTAGTAGTGATAGATAAGAACTAAGACCTGTCATTTTATTGATTGGATAATGATTCTACCTGCTCTGTTAGTGAATTTTGTGGTGACATGAGTTTCATATTTACCTATTTTTTCAACTTTTTTTTTGACAGGTAGAGTTAGACAATGAGAGAGAGAGACAGAGAGAAAGGTCTTCCTTCCGTTGGTTCACTCCCCAAATGGCCGCTATGGCTGATGCTGCACCAATCCGAAGCCAGGAGCCAGGTGCTTCCTCCTGGTCTCCCGTGCAGGTGTAGGGGCCCAAGATTGCCACACCCTACTCAGCCATCTTGAATCCTGTATTTTTATATTTGTAATATTTAATTTCCTTCACTTCTGTTTTAAAAGAAAGAGACATTGCATGGTGGAGATAAAATCTATTTTACCTGAACTAATCACATGGTTTGCATATATATCCCTTAGTCTTCCTCCATCTTTCAAATAAAACTGTGTCATTCTAGTACTTTAAATAAAATAGACCTTAAAGGGACAGGCATTTGGCCTAGCAGCTAAGACTTGGTTGGGATGCCTGCACCCCATATTGAAACGCCTAGGTTTGAGTCCTTGCTGAGTCTCCAATTCCAGCCTCCAACAAATGCACCTCTAGGGGGCAGCAGTGATGACTCAAGTAGTTGGGTCTCTGCCACCCATAAGGGATTCTTGCATTGAATTCCCATCTCCCAGCTTCAGCTTCACCCAGGCCCAGCCCTTCAGCCAGTATAGACATTTGGGGAGTAAATTAGTGAATGGGATCTCTATCTATCTATCTATCTATCTCTATCTATCTATATCTCTCTCATTAAATAATTTTTCAAAGACCTTAGAAATACTTTGTTCCAAACTACCTATAAAGCTTCCTATGACTGCTATGACAAATTACCACAAAGTTGGCTGTTTACAACAGAAATTTATTCTCCCGGAGCTCTGGAGGCTGTAAATCTGAAGTCAGCATCACTGGTCAGAATCCAGGCACTGGCAAGTCCATGCTCCCTCCAGAGGCTCCAGAGTGGAATCTGTGCCTTCCTTCTCGCAGTTTCTGTTGGCCACTGCCTTGCCTTGGCTTGTGTCTGCATCATTCAAATCTCTACCTCCACGGTCATACTGTTTTTCCCTTCCTGTGTGAAATCCCCTTTGCCTGTCTCTCATAGGGATCCTGATTATAGTGAGGATAATCCAGAAAAATATCCTCAAGATTCTTAAATTGATCCCATCTACAAAGACCCTTTCTCCATGTAAGGTAACATGTACAGGCTCTACTCTTAGAGGTCATTATTCAGCTTACTACACTGCTTGTTTTAGAGATGAAGAAACTGAGACAAAGAGAAGAAATGTCAGAGAGGGAGAGAGAGGAGAAATATCACCCAAAGGTCATGAAACTCATAATAAAAGTCAATACAGCAGGGGCCAGTGCTGTGGCAAGGCGGTTAAGCCCCTGCTTGTGACACTGGCGTTGCTTTTCAGAGCGCCAATTCAAGTCAGCTGCTCCACTTCCAGTCCAGCTCCCTGTTAATGTGCCTGAGAAGGCCGTGGCCTCTGACACCCATATGGGAGACTCAGCTGGAGTTCCTGGCTCCTGCCTTCAGTTTGGCCCAGCCCTAGCTGTTGTGGCCATTTGGGGTGTGAACCAGCATATGAAAGGTCTCTCTCTCTCTCTCTTTGTCTCTCTCTCTCTCTCTCTCTCTGTTACTCTTTCAAATAAATAAATAAATCTTTAGGGTTAGGGTTAGGGAATCTTTTAAAAGATGTATTTATTTGTTTGAAAGGCAGAGTGACAAGCAGAGGCAGAGAGACAGAAGGAGAAAGAGAAAGAGAAAGAGAAAGAGAAAGAGAAAGAGAAAGAGAAAGAGAAAGAGAAAGAGAAAGAGAAAGAGAAAGAGAAAGAGAAAGAGAAAGAGAAAGAGAAAGAGAAAGAGAAAGAGAAAGAGAAAGAGATCTTCCATTCACTGGTTCACTCCCCAAATGGCTGCATGGCCAGGGCTAAGCCAGGCCAAAGCCAGGAGCCAGGCGCTTCTTCTGGATTTCCCATGTGGGCGCAGGGGCCCAAGAACTTGGGCCATCTTCACTGCTCTCCCAAGTGCATTAGCAGGGCACTGGATCTGAAGTGGAGCAGCCAGGACTTGAACCAGCACTCATGGATGCCAGCACTGCAAAGGTGGCTTTACTCACTGCACCACAGTGCCAGCCCCAATAAATAAATCTCTCTTTTTTTTTTTTTAAAGATTTATTTATTTGAAAGTCAGAGTTACACAGAGAGAAGAGAGGCAGAGAGAGAGAGAGAGAGGTCTTTCATCCGTTGGTTCACTCCCCAATTGGCCGCAATGGCCGGAGCTGTGCCAACCTGAAGCCAGGAGCCAGGAGCTTCTTCCAGGTCTCCCATGCGGGTGAAGGGGCCCAAGGACTTGGGCCATCTTCTACTGCTTTCCCAGGCCATAGCAGAGAGGTGGATCGGAAGTGGAGCAGCCGAGTCTCGAACTGGTACCCATATGGATGCCAGCACTTCAGGCCAGGGCGTTAACCCACTGCATCTGGCCCCAATAAATAAATCTCTTAAAAAATAAGGTCAACACAACAATATAAACACCCTAATTCTCAGTTGAGTGCAGCCCTTTCATTGCAATGATTTCATGATTATAAAATTAGAAAATACATGTGTACACAAATATCTGTTTTTCAAAATTATCATCATATGCATGAATATACTGTTCTTGCATAAGGTTTTTACATATCAATTATTAGTCTTTCACTTCATTTTAATCACTATGTAATATTCTGGTGTGCCAGTTTAGCAAAATATGTATCCATATTCCCATATTGTTGAAAATTTAGATTGTTTTTAGTTTGTTCTATCTTGCAGTGAGTACTCCTGCTCAGCCTTACATCTTTGTTGATTAATTACATCTTTCTGATTGATTCTAACCAAAATCACAGTGATCAGGTATGCACATTTTTGAGCGTGTGAAGCAAATTGCCCTCCAGTTTATGACCACCCTTTGCCCCACACCCTTACCAACAGGAATTGGGATTCTTAAATTTTGCTTACCTGAAAAATTAAAAATGGTATCTTGCTGTTGTTTTCAGTTGAAGTAGATTTATCTTCAGCCATTTGTATTCACTGTTTGATGTATTGCCTGCTTATTTTTGTCTATTTTTCGGTTGGTTTATTTTTTTGATACTGATTTGCAAATGTTTCTAAATAAGTATATTAACCCTTTAATCAAATGAATTGCAAGTGTTTTTCCCATTTTATTCATTTGTTCTTTAACGATATTTATTGCATTACATTTTCTTCAAACATATGGAAGTTTCAAATTGCTTCTTGATCAAATGTATCATTCTTTCCCTTAAGGTATCTACAGTCCTACTCGGTGCCATGGTGATGTGATAAATCAGGGACACAAGGCGGAGTAGCTGGCCCCAGGACAGCTACACTAATTCCACAGTGCAAGACATGTAGACAGTCCAGGAGTGTTAAAGCCAGCAGATCAAAGGTGACTGCAAATACCAGCAAACTCAGGCCTTTTCTGATTTTCCCCAATTCAGCTTCAAACAAAACATCTCAAATTTCATGTTTCATTATTGTGCTTATGCAAAATGTGGTTTTTTTTAATTCTGGCAAAAAGACCATACAACATGAAATTTATCCTCTTCACAAATTTGTAAGTGTACATTATAGTTAACATTATTTATTTATTTATTTATTTTAGAGATGTATTTATTTATTTGAAATGCAGAGTTACAGAGAGAGAGAGAGAGATCTTCCATCCACTGGTTCACTCCCATGACCATAATGGCTGGAGCCAGGCTAACCCAAAGCCAGGAGCTAGGAGCTTCTTCCAAGTCTCCCACATGGCTACTTTCCTGGGTGCATTAGCAGGGAGCTGGACTAGAAGTGGAGCAGCCAGCATTGCAGGCAGCAGCTTTACCCACTATGCCACAGTGCTGGTCCCTATGGTTAACATTGTTAACTATATGCACAATGTATACAGCAGATCTTTAAAAATTTTCATCTTACATGACTAAAACTCTACAGCCATTGAACAACAATGGTGGGGAAAATGATGAGTTGTTGCTCAATGAATACAAATATTTTACCTTTTGAAAGGAATGCCTTGGGGCAGGCAGGTAGCCTAGTAGCTAAGATGCCAGTTAAGATGTTCACATCCCATACCAGAGTGCCTGGGTACAATACCCACCTCTGGCTCTTGACTCCAGTTTCCTGTTAATATGTACCCTGGAAGGCAGCACATGGGCTCAAGTAGTTGGGGCCCTTCCAACCACATTGGTGACCCAGACTGGGCTCCTGGCTCTTGGGTTTTACTTGACCCAGGCCCAGGTATCACAGATACTTGGGGAGCACACCAGTGGCTGGGAAATCTCTGTCTGCTCCAGATGGCCTTCACTTTCTTATCACCCTTGCTGTCCAGACCTGTAAAAGCTCTGCAAATGTTGGTTGAATTAATTAAGTACTGGCCCAAGACAGCACAGCTGGGACTGGAAGCTAAATCTCCAGATTCTCAGGCCAGTGTTATTATTGTCAGAGTGCTCACCGTTCTTATGGCCCTAAGCTTAATAAATATTTCTGAATAATTACTTTAATCTCTTTCTCTATAGAAAATGGAGGATGGGAAATACTTTGAGTTCATGGCTGGTGACAGTTGATTGCTCTGTTTTGTCCCAACTAGTGTTGAGTTGAGATGGGATAGTAGGTGCCCTACATAGTAGAACTGATGAAGGAGTAGCTATGGTAACATCTAAGAGGTTCCTGTCTGTCACAGGCTTTTGTTCCTTTTAGTACAAAATTGTATAACATCACAAGTCACTTTTTCTACCGCAAATGCTCCTAGGTAGGCCAATTCCTTCAGCCATTCAATCTTTGTCATGGTGTGAACAGGATTTGGTTCCCAAACTCATGTAGATGTTTAAGCCCAAAGTCTTATGTTAACAGTTAATGAATTAGTGCTAACGGGTATTGGAATAAGGGTGAAGACTTAATCTAATTACAGTGTCTGCGGGGTGAGGCTAGTGAGAGATGTTTAGGTTACTGGGGGCTTGCTGTTGCTCTTCTCGTGAGAGGCTGGTTGTTCAAGAGTGTGCCCCCATTTCGCCGGTCTCTGGCCCACCGTATGACCCTCCATCCACATGTGTTCCATCCTCAGCAGATGCCAGGCTGATGCAGCTGCCCAGTATTGGACCATAAGCCTCCAGAACCACAAACCAAAATCAACCTCTGCCTAAGAAGCTCCTCTCAGGTATCTTAGTTAAGGTAACAAAAAGCTAATAAAACCTCCAAAATAAAAGGGAGCAGCGTTTTCCAAAATTGACTGTGGTTAAAAGTAGCTTCAGGTTGTCGCTCTGGGGTCAGGCCTGTCTGCATTTCTGGCACATCCTTGGGTGTTGTGAGGCTTCCGCGTGGGGACCACACTGTGAAGGGCCTGAGAGGACCACATGGGCCTGCAGGAAAGAACTAAATGGGAATGGAACACAAGGCACCCATCTGGTGGCAATGGAGCCACATAGTTAGCTCTCAATTCACAGAGGTCAGGCCTTCAGGGTCTCTCACAGAGGGAGACTGAAAATCCTCTAGGAAGGGCATGAATGTGGTCAGGAGAAAAGCAGAGCACTAATAATAAGTCTGTTTTGCCAGAAGCTGCTGGGTTTGGGGAAAATTAACAGTTGGATTCAGCACAGGGAATGGGTGAGTCTTATAATGAACCATCTATATGCCTAGCACCCACCCGGGCATCCATGAAGCCTGGAGTCCTGGTTATTTAATAAGATCCAGTCACCTGGCTCCCTTGAGTTTCAAGTTAACGCCTCGCAGAGGTGACTAAGCTGTAAGCACGCACTGGAGTCGCACCTAGCTCGATGGCGGCAGCAATATTGGCCAACTGGAGACGATCTTCATGAAGGCTGGGGGACAGGAGCAGTCACTCAGCTTCAGTGAGGCTTTCGCAAGCTCCTTAAGCATTTGCCTCGTAGCAGGCAATATCAGTCTTCCTCCCTCTGGGGCGTTATGCAGGGCTTAGAGCTTCATCAGCCTCAGCTTAATTTTTACCAGATCCCTGCTGAGCATACACAGAAACAGTTTTTTTAATTGGCTATTTTTTTAATATTTTGTACTTTTCTTCTTTTTTCCCCCTCTTTTTAAAATTTATACAAATATGGTTGCACAAGGGAGATGAGTCATTGGTGAAGTTTGAGATGTGTTTGTCAGGATGTTTTTTAAGCATTATGGTAAGGCATATTCTTCTCTTTGTAAAACTACACAATTCAGGAATATATACTTTTTTCAATTATAAGGGATACACCGGCTAACAAAATAAACACAGCTCCAAAATATTTTTTAAAAATTACTATACACATAAAATTACATAATTCATTCCTTTACCATAAAAATATAAATGTAATTTCTGGAAATAATAGTACCATAATTTATGTTTGTCTTGGAAACATTTTTACTGAAAATTAAGTAGGTTTTTTTTTTTACTGTTATTTGTCAGTCACAAGCTTGCAAGAGACCAAAGATAACTTCACTTTTAATGTTCTGAGTTTGTCAACATCACCTTGCCTTTCTCAACCTACCTGGAACACTCAGGATTAAGCAATACAGGTGTTTCAGTTAGTCAGAAGTCAGCTCTCCTCTGCACAGAAAAACAATTTTTTTTTGCTGGCATTCAAAACAGTCTGCAGGATTTTCTCTGGCTCTGATCTACACTTCCCATGTTGAGACATCTTCCTACTTGTGTTCTATCACTGAAAAGTTAATGTTATTTTAAAACGTCCCCTGTCACAGTCTAGATTCTCCCGAGGAGCATATTCCTCTCCATAGAATGGGCATTTTTGCAGCTTAATATCTACATTTGATTACCATTGGTGCATATTTAAGTGTTGTCTTGCTCATCTTGTTTATTACATATATGTATTAAAAACTAATAAAAGCAAAATAATACAAAAAAATGAGTATTTCATTTTGGCATTCTCCCTACTACAAAACCCTGCAGATGTTTGGCTGCCTGTGATATATTTTGGAGGATGGAATTTGCAACTGTTATAATTAAGCAATACCATTAAGTCACCCGAGAGTAAATTAGAAGCTTAAACTGGTGCTGTGTGCTCAGGAACCCAAGATTATGGGCTGAGATCTCTATTCAGTGGATGAAGTCAGCTTCCTTCAAATTGATTCCGAAATAAAAGGTGTTATTTCTATTCCCCACCCCCAAAATACATAAGTGTATTAAACATGTCCCTAATATTGATTTGGCATGCCAGCTGTAATCTTAAATTGTAGGGGGAAAATGTTTTTGTAAATAGAGCTATTTCTATTTTGCTTCTACTGTTTTGGCTGTAATGGGCAAGAGAAATGTGTAAGTCTGGATGATTTCCAGGGATTTGGCTGGGTTCCACTGACTTAATAGTGGTTAAAAAAAGAAATGAAGAAAGAAAAAAAATCAGGAGCAAAGTGGTGGGGGGGGCAAGGAAGAGTACCTAGGACAACCTGCAGTAATGGAATTGGACACAGGTAATGCCACTTCTCAGAGTTTTCCCTCATAATACTATCTGGAGAGAGACAATTACATCCCAACAAACAGAAATACAAATTCTGTAATCTGAATGGGACATTGATACGATAGTTGTCACCAAAGGCAGTTTAAGCAACCTATAATCCAATATACTGAGAATATGAACGATTAAAAATGTTAGCAAATCACCAAATGAAAATAAAAGACATAATCTTGAACATACCACCATGATTAGCTACTCTCTTCAAAGACAATTTAAGTTGACCAGACTAAGACATAGTGGTTATCTAGCCTAAGTACACTATGCAAAGTGTGATCTTTGGAGCAGTAGTATGAGCACAGTCTGGAAGTTTTTTGGAAATGCAGAACTGCAGGTTCCACCCAAGGCCTACTGAATCAGGACTCATATTTTAAGAAGATCCATAGGTGACTCATATGCATGTTTAAGTTTGAAAAGCATTGATCCAGATCCTTCCTACCTGCTTTCAGGTTCTGAGGTTGGCCTGAATTCGCAAAGCCTTTGAGTCACTGAACAGTGGTATTCCTATTGCATTCTTTCTCTGCTTCTCCAGGGGTCAATCACTTCTTTTACTTTGACAATCTGGCCTATCTCCCTAAAGTCAAACTCCATTTTGGAAGTCTTCCAGAATTCTTCACAAATATTCCCTGGTCCAGAGGATTGAATATACTCTCTTCGGAGTAACTGCTTTCATTGAGCTTCTTAGAGAACCGATGGCATGATATTGATGTTACACATCTTCAGTTTAGTCCTTAGACTGGTCTTTTGTACCTGAATTGTTAGAACGAATGGTTTTTCTCCTCATACCTGACACAGATCTCCTTTGATGGCACAATCTGCAGCAATATGGGAGCCCAAATTTACAAAATTTTCTGTTCTTCAATGTTTCTTCTACAGATACCACCTGCTTTACTTCTTCATTACTCTGAGCTCCATCTGTTTTGATCTGAAGAGGTTTTTTTTTTTTAAGATTTATTTTATTTATTTGAAAGAGTTACAAAGAGAGGTAGAGACAAAGAGAGAGGTCTTCCATCCACTGGTTCACTCCCCAGTTGGCAGCAATGGCTGGAGCTCCACCATTACGAAGCCAGGAACCAGGAGCTTCTTCTGGGTCTCCCAGATGGGTGCTGAGGCCCAAGGACTTGAGCCATCTTCTACTGCTTTCCCAGGCCATAGCAGTGAGCTGTATTGGAAAAGGAGCAGCCAGGAATAGAACCAGCGCCCATATGGGATGCTGGCACTTCAGGCCAGGGCTTTAACTCGCTGCGCCACAGAGCCAGCCCCATCCCATCTGAAGGTTTGTTTTTTGTTTGTTTGTTTGTTTGTTTTTGTCAGAGTCATAGACAGTGAGAGAGAGAGAAACAGAGAGAAAGGTCTTCCTTCTGTTGGTTCACTCCCCAAATGGCCGCTATAACCAGCGCTGCGCCGATCCAAAGCCAGGAGCCAGGTGCTTCTTCCTGGTCTCCCACATGGGTGCAGAGGCCCAAGCACTTGGGCCATACTCCACTGCCCTCCTGGGCCACAGCAGAGAGTTGGACTGGGAGAGGAGCAACCAGGACTAGAACCCGCGCCCATGTGGGATGCCACGCCGCAGGCGGAGGAGTAACCAAGTGAGCCACAGTCCTGGCCCCTGTCTGAAGGTCTTTAATTGAAAGAAAGCTCTTGTAACTTTCGTCCTTTGTATACATGGACAATCAGGACAGTGTCTTCCCCAGAATTAAATTGAAGGCCTTCTTCCATGATCTTTTCAGGCTCCCACTTTTTTACTCTACCCTAACAATGGAGATGCAACAATGCTTTCCATTCTCTGTGACTTTGTTGGGATGTTACAAAGGCTATGAATACCTGAAGGCATATCCATCCAATGATCTTTGAGAGAAAGGAAAACAAAAATACAACCACAGAAGCATGAAGTCCATGGCATTACATTGGTAAAGATACAAAAAGTCTTAATTACAGAGAAGTCCCATCAACCCCTGTGGTAACTAATATACCAACCAAGTGGTTGGTCCCATGGTGTAATGGTTAGCATTCTGGACTTTGAATCCAACTAATATACCAACCAAAGAGTCAAAGTTGGCTTTGTCCTCAAATCAGTCTCTACAGAGTCTTCTCTCTCCTCCCAAATATATTTGCTTGGCAATTGCCACCATGATAATGTGCAATACAAGATTTTGCTACTTAGGATCTGCTTTTATTTCTAGTTGACAATTACAGCATAACTATGATTTCCACAAGCTCAAGCTCCTAAATCCCTTGAGCAAGTAATGAGCCAATAACTCAAATCCAGGGGAAATTTCTACAAAGCTATCTTTGACTCTATTTTCACAGAGTGACGTGTTTCTTGTCATGGGATAATGACCTGAGAAACACCATCTGGCCAGATCTACTACTTCGTATCAAATTGCATGCTATTTTAATTTGTTTGAATAAATATTCCTTTATTCAATAAATATTATTGAGTACCTACTATATGCAAGGAACAAAAGAACAAAGAAACAACTCTTATGGCTAAATTAGCTTTTCTTATTTCTTCAAACTTCTCAAATCCATCACATGGGGCTCCCATCCAGTTGAAAGGTCTCTATGGTTCTCTTCACCCCTGGAACAGTTAAAACCAGCCCTAGGAACTCTATCAATTCAGCAGAGGCCTTGAACGTGGCTTTTCAACTCCCCATGCAGGCACTCTCCCAACCATCCAAAAGAGTAGAGCTCTTGATGGCAAATCAAACATAATTTTAGTTAACATGTTTCTTAGT